GTGTGCAATCGACACCGTGTCCGATCGGCACCGTGTGCAATCGACACCGTGTCCGATCGGCACCGTGTGCAATCGACACCGTGTCCGATCGGGAAATATTGCTGTGTCCGATTTGTAATGTGCGCAATCGGGACTCACTCGAAGACACAATTGTTATTCCTCTGTAGTCCTTCACCTCTCGCCTTTCTCCTTTTTTTATTATTGGAATTATTTCCCCTTCCTTCCATTGCTCCGGCCAGCCTTCCCCCCTCCATACCTGTTTACATATTTCCCATATCCATTTCACCATTTCTTTTCCTCCAAATTTAGAGGCCTTTCCACGCCTCGTTCGGTATCCCATTATTGCCTATTGCTTTTCCTGTTTTCAATTTCTTTATTACATTTCTTACCTCCTCCAGTTCTATCTCTTCCTCTTCTTGCCTGTCCCTTTTTTCTTCTCCTTTCACTACCCTAATCTCCACCCCATCCATTAACTCCATAAAGTACTCCTTCCACCCTTCGAGCTTTATCTCTTCGTTTATCCTTCTCCTTCTCTTTCTTACTCTGCCTATCAACTCCCATACCTTTCCTTCCGTTCTCGCTTCCCCTATCTCTCGTATCATCCTATTCTTTTTCTCTTTCTTCTTTCTTCTTCCTTCTTTTTTTGCACATTTCTCTGTACTCTCTCCTTCCTTTTCTATACCTTTCCACCTCTCCTTTTCCTTTCCTCCATTTTTTTAATTCTCTCCTCACTTCTTTCTTTCTCTCCCTGCATTCTTCATCCCACCACCCTCTTCTGTTCTTGTTAGCCATTCTCCCATCCTCATTTTCATTCTCCTCTATTACTTTTCTTATCTTCGATATTCCTTCTTCTATCTCTTCTTGTAGCTCTCTTTTTCCTCCTATCATTTCTAGTTTCTCTCTAAATTGCGTTCTTTTCTTTTCACTCTATATTCCTCTTCTTCTTATTCTTTCTCCTTCTCTCCTTCTCTGCTTTCCCTTTGGGTTACCTTTCACACAGACTATTAGTGGATGATAGTCTGAGTACTCTGAGTCTACTAATAAAAAAAGTCATAAACTATCTTTATTGCTTATCCCCGCAGGGTTTGCAAGACGTTTTTATAAGGAACGTTACCCAAACCTTTACCCTACTACCCTTTCTCCTCTCACTTTAACCCTTTGGACCAACGGCTAAATGTCTCTTTCCGAAAAACAGAGCCCAGTTTGCTCCGCACAAGAGCTTATCTTGCACGGAGGGGCGCAGCTTCGGAAAAACATTCCATGTTTACATGGCTCTAGTGGACTCGAACTTGGTTCCTCAGATTACAAGTCTGGCGCTCTACGACTAGACCACACTGCCGCCCTGGTCTGAGTCTACTCTTTCTCTTACTTTCAGTCTTTCTACTTTTTCTCTAACCTCTTCCTCTTCTATAACGTAATCTATAGATAACTGTCTCCTTTCTGTGTATGTAAATTCACCTTCTTCATCTCTTTTCATGCTTCCATTTAATATCATCCATCCTCTTTCCTCTATAAATTCCAATAGCTTTCTGCCATCCTTATTTATTTTCTTGTCTTTTGATCTTCTCCCTCTTTCTTCTAT